TGTGCAGCACTTGCCTACACTGTGCCTACGGAGTACTCACAACTGTTTGAGGAGCTAGGTCACCTCAATGGTTTCATCCATCGGCCTACAGTCAGCCATTGCGGAGGGTTCTGCTGACCCTTTGAGAGCCCACTGATAAGGGACTTGACAACCTCCTGGAGGATGACATCATCAAGCCCATTGACGCCTCATCATGGGTCTCAAATCTGGTTGTTGCGCCCAAGACAAATGGTGATATCCGGATCTGCATGGACCTCAGGGCTGTGAACAAAGCGATTATCCCCGACAAGTACCCGCTACCAACAGCTGAGGAGCTCACAACCCATTTCTATGGGTCCACGGTATTCAGCAAACTAGACCTGAGGCAGGGATACCTCCAGGTTCCCCTGGAACATGAGAGTCGAGATCTCACTGCGTTCATAACACACGGGGGGCTGTTCAGGTACAAATGCATGCCATTCAGACTCAACAAGTGTTACACAAATCAAAATATATTTTATATTTGAGATTCTTCAAATAGCTACCTTGATGACAGCTTTTCACACTCTTGGCATTCTCTCAACCAGCTTCACCTGGAATGCTTTTCCAACAGTCTTGAAGGAGTTCCCACATATGCTGAGCACTTGTTAGCTGCTTTTCCTTCACTCTGCCGTCCGACTCATCCCAAACCATCTCAATTGGGTTGAGGTCGGGGGATTGTCGAGGCCAGGTCATCTGATGCAGCACTCCATCACTCTCCTTCTTGGTCAAATAGCCCTTACACAGCCTGGAGGTGTGTTGGGTAATTGTCCTGTTGAAAAACAAATGATAGTCTCACTAAGCCCAAACCAGATGGGATGGCGTATCGCTGCAGAATGCTGTGGTAGCCATGCTGGTTAAGTGTGCCTTGAATTCTAAATAAATCACAGAAAGTGTCACCAGCAAAGCACCCCCACACCATAACACCTCCTCCTCCATGCTTTACGGTGGGAACTACACATGCAGAGATCATCCGTTCACCTACACCGCGTCTCACAAAGACACGGCTGTTGGAACCAAAAGTCTCAAATTTGGAATCCAAATTTGGACAAATTTCCACCGGTCTAATGTCCATTGCTCGTGTTTCTTGGCCCAAACAGGTCTCTTCTTCTTATTGGTGTCCTTTAGTTGTGGTTTCTTTGCAGCAATTCGACCATGAAGGCCTGATTCACACAGTCTCCTCTGACCAGTTGATGCTGTGTCTGTGACTTGAACTCTGTTAAGCATTTATTTGGTTTGCAATTTCTGAGGCTGGTAACTCTAATGAACGTATCCTCTGCAGCAGAGGTAACTCTGGGTCTTCCATTCCTGTGGCGGTCCTCATGAGAGCCAATTTCATCATAGTGCTTGATGGTTTTTGCGACTGCACTTGAAGAAACGTTCAAAGTTCTTGAAATTGTCCGTATTGACTGACCTTCATGTCTTAAAGTAATGATGGACTGTCGTTTCTCTTTGCTTATTTGAGCTGTTCTTGCCATAATATGGACTTGGTCTTTTAGCAAATAGGGCTATCTTCTGTATACCCCCCTACCTTGTCACAACACAACTGATTGGCTCAAACGCATTAAGAAGGAAATCAATTCCTAAATTAACTTTTAAGAAGGCACACCTGTTAATTGAAATACATTCCAGGTGACTACCTCATGAAGATGGTTGAGGTAATGCCAAGCTGTCATTAAGGCAAAGGGTGAATATTTGAAGAATCTCAAATATAATATATATTTGGATTTGTTTAACACTTTTTTGGTTAATACATGATTCTATATGTGTTATTTCATAGTTTGGATGTCTTCACTATTATTCTACATTGTAAAAAATCATAAAAATAAATAAAAACCCTTGAATGAGTAGGTGTGTCCAGACTTTTGACTGGTAGTGTACAGTGAGGGAAAAAAGTATTTAATCCCCTGCTGATTTTGTACGTTTGCCCACTGACAAAGACATGATCAGTCTATCATTTTAATGGTAGGTTTATTTGAACAGTGAGAGACAGAATAACAATAAAAATCCAGAAAAACGCATGTCAAAAATGTTATAAATTGATTTGCATTTTAATGAGGGAAATAAGTATTTGACCCCTCTGCAAAACATGACTTAGTACTTGCTGGCAAAACCCTTGTTGGCAATCACAGAGGTCAGATGTTTCTTGTAGTTGGCCACCAGGTTTGCACACATCTCAGGAGGGATTTTGTCCCACTCCTCTTTGCAGATCTTCTCCTAGTCATTAAGGTTTCGAGGCTGACGTTTGGCAACTCGAACCTTCAGCTCCCTCTACAGATTTTCTATGGGATTAAGGTCTGGAGACTGGCTAGGCCACTCCAGGACCTTAATGTGCTTCTTCTTGAGCCACTCCTTTGTTGCCTTGGGCGTGTGTTTTGGGTCATTGTCATGCTGGAATACCCATCCACGACCCATTTTCAATGCCCTGCTGAGGGAAGAAGGTTCTCACCCAAGATTTGACGGTACATGGCCCCGTCCAGCGTCCCTTTGATGCGGTGAAGTTGTCCTGTCCCCTTAGCAGAAAAACACCCCCAAAGCATAATGTTTCCACCTCCATGTTTGACGGTGGGGATGGTGTTCTTGGGGTCATAAGCAGCATTCCTCCTCCTCCAAACACGGCGAGTTGAGTTGATGCCAAAGAGCTCCATTTTTGTCTCATCTGACCACATCACCCAGTTCTCCTCTGAATCATTCAGATGTTCATTGGCAAACTTCCAACGGGCCTGTATATGTGCTTTCTTGAGCAGGGGGACCTTGCGGGCGCTGCAGGATTTCAGTTCTTCACGGCGTAGTGTGTTACCAATTGTTTTCTTGGTGACTATGGTCCCAGCTGCCTTGATATCATTGACAAGATCCTCCCGTGTAGTTCTGGGCTGATTCCTCACCGTTCTCATGATCATTGCAACTCCACGAGGTGAGATCTTGCATGGAGCCCCAGGCCGAGGGAGATTGACAGTTATTTTGTGTTTCTTCCATTTGCGAATAATCGCACCAACTGTTGTCACCTTCTCACCAAGCTGCTTGGCGATGGTCTTGTAGCCCTTTCCATTTTTGTTGTTGTTATTCTGTCTCTCACTGTTCAAATAAACCTACCATTAAAATTATAGACTGATCATTTCTTTGTCAGTGGGCAAACGTACAAAATCAGCAGGGGATCAAATACTTTTTTCCCTCACTGTATATGTACTTTATTTTTACTGCAACATTAGGCAAAGTGCAGAAATGTATTCGTGCCAATCTACATTATATCCACAGACCGGGTGGTGCACCAGGAACTTCAGGTAGCTAGCAACCAAGCGGTTGTGAGTTCAAATCCCAAGCGAGGTTGAGTCCAAGTAATAAGCATACAGCAGCATACTGTCCATTAACACCTGAATTTAGGTGTAAGTAGTTGTATATTTAGCATATTTTCACTGCAACTAGACAACAACCTCCAGGGGATCATGACATAACGTTCTAAAAAAGTCCAGTTGGGACGTCTCTGGAACAAACTAGACAAAACCTGCAGGGGACCATGACTGTTTAAATTGAATTAATGTAAATTATGCATTTAAAAATAAAATATTCTTGAGACACCTGGGTTTTCACGTGCTCAAATGTTGTCACGTGTAGTGTCATGGTATCACATGTTGAAATGTGGCATCCCCATGTTGTCACATTTATTTCACATGAGATCATGTTCTCACGTTCTCACGTTGTCACATGTGTAGTTTTGTGTTATCACATGTTGCTTCACATGGCACATGTTATCACATTAACTTCACATCAAATCACGTGATCACATGTGAAATTAATGTGGTCTATCCATAATGGTGGGCAGCAATTTTCAAGTCTTGCCATTGCTTTTCAAGCAGATTTAAGTCAAAACTGTAACTTGGACACTCAGGAACATTCACTGTCTTCTTGGCAAGCAACTCCTTGTGTTGTTTGGTCTTGTGTTGTGGTTATTGTCCTGCTGAAAGGTGAATTCCTCTCCCGGTCTCTGGTTTAAAGCAGACTGAAGCATGTTTTCTTCTAGGATTTTGCCTGTGCTTAGCTCCATCCCATTTATTTATATCCTGAAAAACTCCCCAGTATTTGCCGATGTCAAGCATACCCATACAATTATGCAGCCACCACAATGCTTACAAATAAGGAGGCAGTTACTCAGTGATTTGCCCCAAACATAAGGCTTTGCATTTAGACCAAAAATGTAATTCCTTTGTTTGTTTTTTCAGCATTACCTTAGTGCCTTGTTGCATACAATATGCATATTCTGTATATTTGTATTCTTTTCACTCATTATTGTGGAGTCACAACAATGTTGTTGATCCATCCTCAGTTTTCTCCCATCACAGCCATTGAACTCTGTGGCTGTTTTAAAATCACCAATGGCCTCATGGTAACATCCCTGAGCAGTTTAATTCCTGTCCAGCAGCTCAGTTCAGAAGGACGACTATTTTTGATGTGTCTGGGTGGTTTAATACATAATCCACAGCATAATTATTAACTTGACCACGTTTAAAGAGATATTCCATTTCTGATTTGTTATTGTTGCCCATCTACCAATCACTAACCGTCTTTATGAGGCTTTTGAAAAGCTCCCTGGTCTTTGTAGTTGAATCTGTGCTCAAAATGCAATACTTGACTGAGGGACCTTACAGATGTTGTACGTATAGGGGACAGAGGAAGGGTTAGTAGTAAAAAAAAATAATGTCAACCCCTATTATTTCACACAGACTGAGGCCATGTAATTTATTATGTGATTTATTAAGCCACATTCTACTCCTGAACTAATTTAGGCTTGCCTAAACAAAGGGGTTGAATACTTATGCAACGACTATATTTAGTTATGATTTTCTTTATTTATATATTTTAAAATATAAACATCTTCCACTTTGACATTAGTGTATTTTGTGTTGATTGTTGACAAAACATTTAAACTAAATCAATTTTAATCCAACTTTGTAACACAATAAAATGTGAAGAAATATTAAGGGTCTGAATACTTTTGCAAGGCACTGTATGTAACAAGAGAGCAATCGGAATTGGACAGAAGTCGAGTTTCGAAAGCAGTTGTAAGAGTTTTTTGGTTTATAGTATGTACAAGGGTCCTTCAGATAGGAAAGGGGGAGATAGAGGCGGTCTGTGGTTGGCAAACTACTTTTAATGAACTCATATGGAGGAATACTTCATTGGGATCATACATTTTGAATACTGCATTAATAACATTAAGAGGATGGTAAATCTATCAGGGCTTTGGTCGAAGAGGTCTAGCAGCAAAATCAGTTTCCCAAATAGCGACCAATTCCTACCAATGTACTTGGTCTTGGCTTAAGACTGTACCGAGTTATGGCAAAAAAAAGTGGGTCACCAAATACCCCAACACACTTCAGGTGGATCAAGGGCATGGCACAATACAGGATCAGAAACCATTGGTTTGGAAACCTCTTCGGTATCTCAGATAGTGCTCTCACTGTCCCTGTCCAGATCATCTTTGTTCTTAAAGATGCTGACCATGGCATGTCCATTGGGATTGTTGTTCCCGTTGGCCTCCAGGGCTGTAGCCTTGGCCTGGCTTCGCAGTACCAACTTCTTCTGCCGATTGGACAGCTGCCGGTACAGCACCCCCCACAGCAGGTAGGCCAGGCCGTATAGACCATAGATCAGACCCAGGAACGTTATTCTACAGGGGAGAGAAGGGACAGAGGTTATAACAAAGTCCATCAATCCATTCATCCATTCATCCATTTATCAGTTGAGTTCAGTTGACTGTACCTGAATGCATGTGAGTCGTAGAGTCTGCATGCTCCTTGACCCCCACATCGCTTTAAACCCCACTTCAGACATGTCCTGTCAATCAACGCTCCGAAGTATATAGGGGGAGGGATTCCACCTGCAAACACAAGTTACTGAAGTGTTTTACTTTCTCAAGTCCCTTAACCATAGACATTGAAGGAAAATATAACATTTTGAGAATGTTCCACAAGGTTCTAAGATTGTTCATACCCTCCACAAACTCATCTTACTTACCCAGAGTTCTGACTATCAATGTCTGCATGCCAAGAGCCAGTGATTTTAAATCGGGGTGTATAGATCTGAAACAAAACAAAAGCAACACATTGAGGGTAAACAAAGCTTGCAAACAAAATCAATACAAAAGTGATTCCAATCACAGGTGGGCATTCCAGTGGAGTAAATGTAATTGCGAAAATATACTTAAGTATCAAAAGTAAAAGTAAATGTATAAATCATTTCAAATTCCTTATATTAAGCAAACCAGAAGGCACCATTTTATTTTTTTAATTATTATTTACGGATCGCCAGGGGCACACTCCAACACTCAGACTTAATTTACAAATGAAACATTTGTGTTTAGTGAGTCTGCCAGATCAGAGGCACTAGGGATGACCAGGGATGTTCTCTTAATAAGTGTAAATTGGACCATTTTCCTGTCCTGCTAACGAGTACTTTTGGGTGTCAGGGAAAATGTATGGAGTAAAAAGTACATTATTTTCATCAGGAATGTAGTGAAGTAAAAGTAACATTTCTCAAATATAAATAGTAAAGTAAAGTACAGATACCACAAAAACTACTTAAGTAGTACTTTAAAGTATTTTTGCTTTAGTACTTTACACCACTGCACTAAACACAAATGCTTCATTTGAAAAAAAAATGTGTGCCCCTGGCTATCTGTAAATAAAATAATAAAAAATATATTGTGCCGTCTGGTTTGCTTAATATAAGGAATTTGAAATGATTTATACTTTTACTTTTTATACTTAAGTATATTTTACCAATTACATTTACTTTTGATTCTTAAGTATATTTCAAACCAAATATTTTTAGACTTTTACTCAAGTAATATTTTACTGGGTGACTTTCACTTTTACTTGAGTCATTTTCTATTAAGGTATCTTTACTTTTACTCAAGTATGACAATTGGGTACTGTTTCCACCACTGGACAGTTCCATCCATCCTATTGTCTTGTTTTACCTGAGCAGGACGATATATCCAGATGTGCCCCCACAGGCAGAGACGAAGGCCCCCAGGACAGAGACAGCCATGTAGAACTTAAACATCCTGTCACAGTCACTCTTCCTGGGGCACTGGCCCAAAATGGCTGACATGTTGGTTGGAAGAGCCAACATTTGCCCCTTCAGCTCCCCCATACATGTGCAGTTATGGAACTCCTGTGGAACAGAGGGAGAAGATGGAGAAACAGTGACTTTAAATTAATCAAAGTTGGTTATGGGTTCGACCCACAGGGTGTGCAGGTTTTTGCTCCTGCCCAGTACTAACACACCTGATTGTGTGGTATAGTATATCACATTCAGAAGTGTTCACTGGAGTTCAACACTCATATGTTATCCTTATGGAAACACATAGTGTTCCTAAAGAGAGTATTGTGTCATAAAAGTGAGATGTACTGTATGTGTAAATGAACAAGGTAGGAGGAGTTGAGAGTAACTAAGAACACATTTAGACATTTAGTCATGAGATGTCTCACCATCTCCTTGCCTACGCCCGTGGAGGTCTGGCAGCCAGCTAGACAGGGGGTGGCGTAGGTCATGCCATTGCTGGCACACACAGGGTCCCAGTGTTTCAGGGAACAGGAGCAGCCCATGTTACACTGAGACAGCAAGCTCTCCGGCTGGTAAGACACCTCTGGAGCCCTGGGAGACAAAGGTAACAATATAGCTATGAGTCAAAAGCGTGAAAATGTATTGTGTTAATTGTTGATACGGCAGTGCATAGATAATGAAGACAATGAAGGCAAAGATCAAAGTTTGTATTTTGTTATCTTATATTATCTAATTCAGTAGCAATTACAATAGCAATAGTCAAGCAAAATCAAATTTTGTAGCAATCAAAATAGAATATTTGATGAAGCACACTCACACAGTGCTTTAGGCCTTCTCTTAGAATCAGTGTATAAACAGTAAGTCTCTAGCTATTACAATATTTCTACTAAATCATTTACTCTATTCATGCAATATGAACTAGAGTACATGTATTTACCCTTGGTAGAACAACACTGTAGGCAGTATTGGATGAGCAGGCGGCAGAAGGAGAGGAACTAACCTTAACTATAACCCTTAACCCAACATTACTGTATTTACAGTGCTTTCAGAAAGTATTCATACCCCTTGACTTATTCCACATTTTGTTGTTACACAGCCTGAATTCAAAATGGATGAAATATATTTGTTCTACTCACAATACTCCATAATGACAAAGTGAAAACATGTTTTTAGACATTCTTGCAAATTTATTGAAAATGAAATATCTAATTTACATAAGTATTCACACCAGGTCAATACTTTGTAGATGCCTCTTTGGCAGCAATTACAGCTGTGAGTCTTGCTGGGTAAGTCTCTAAGAGCTTTCCACACCTGGATTGTGCAACATTTGCCCATTATTCTTTTCACGCTCTTTCAAATTGGTTGTTGATCATTGCTAGACAACCATTTCCGGGTCTTGCCACTCGAGAACATTCACTGTCTTCTTGGTAAGCAACTCCAGTGTAGATTTGGCCTTATGTTTTAGGTTATTGTCCTGCTGAAGGGTGAATTCATCTCTCAGTGTCTGGTGGAAAGCAGACTGAACCCGGTTTTCCTCTAAGATTTTGCCTGTGCTTAGCGCCATTCTGTTTCTTTTTTATCATGAAAAACTCCCCAGCTCTTAACAATTTCTAGCATAACCATAACATGATGCAGCCACCACTATGCTTGAAAATGTGGAGAGTGGTACTCAGTGATGTGTTTTATTGGATTTGCCCCAAACATAACACTTCATATTTAGGACAAAGAGTGAATTGCTTTGCCAATTTCTTTGCAGTATTACTTTAGTGCCTTGTTGCAAACAGGATGCATGTTTTTGAATATTTGTATTCTCTACAGGCTTCCTTCTTTTCACTCTGTCAATTAGGTTAGTATTATGGAGGTGGTACGATGTTGTTGATCCATCCTCAGTTTTCTCCTATCACAGCCATAAATTCTGTAACTGTTTTAAAGTCACAATTGTCTCATGGTGAAATCCCTGAGAGGTTTCCTTCCTCTCCGGCAACTGTTAGGAAGAACACCTGGGTCTTTGTAGTGACTGGGTGTGTTGATACACCATCCAAAGTGTAATTAATAACTTCACCAAGGGATATTCAATGTCTGCTTTTTTATGTTTACCCATCTACCAATAGGTGCCCTTCTTTGCGAGGCATTGGAAAAACCTCCCTGGTCTTTGTGATTGAATCTGTGTTTGAAATTCACTGCTGGACTGAGGGATCTTACAGATAATTGTATGTGTGGGGTACACGGATGAGGTAATCATTCAAAAATCATCTTAAACACTATTATTGCACACAGAGTCCATGCAACTTCTGTTGACTTGTTAAGCAAATTTGTACTCCTGAACAAATTTAGGCTTGTCATAAAAAAGGGGTAGAATAGTTATTGACTCAAGACATTTCTGCTTTTCGTTTTTTGTAAACATTTTGAAAAACATAATTCCACTTTGACAATATAGGGTATTGTGTGTAGGCCAGTGACAAAAAAATCTCTATTTGATCCATTTTAAATTCAGGCTGTAACACAACAAAATGTGGAAAAAGTCAAGGGGTGTGAATACTTTCTGATGGCACTAGCATATTATGAACTACAGTGCTTACCCTTTATAGGTCATGGTGAGGCCAGCCACCTCTGAGTTGTCACACTGTAGGAAGTACTGGATGAGCAGGAGGCAGAAGGAGAGGAAGGAGGAGATGATGGAGAGTCGGGCTGCTCCCAGAATACTCAGCTTGAACCGCTTCATCACATAGCCTCCCACGATGATCCCAATTGCCACCGCAGGCAGGTTCATCGAACCTGGCCAGAGACAGACAAGTCAAGTTTGTAGTGCATTTGCCATGCATCACATTTTACAACCACATACATTACAAACATTAAACACAAAAGGCTAAATTGAAAGATTTGTAATGACTGTCAGGAAAGTAGTAGAATATATTCAGTTAGGAAGCATTGATGGATACATGTGTATCAGCATGATTTATAATGTCTAGCATGTGTACAACTAATGCATAGCAGAGTATTGTAAACACACTAATGTTACTGCTGAGAGTATAAGTTGTGTGGGAAAGGTGTTGCATGACAGTCATGTACAGTATGAACGAGATACTCGTGGTGGTGAGTAATCAGGCTAGCTACTGTACTATCTAATAACAGTTCAGAGTGCTCTTTCAGTTTAAAGTTGCCACCCGCACACGCGCACACACACAAACACACACACTTGTAGTCATGTATACCTCAGTCACATGTTCTTTCAATGACAACATTGCTTCGGCTTTCTTCTGAGTGAAGGAGAGAGAAGGAGAGAGAAAGTGTACGTGTGTGCCTCCTGCACTGTAGCCTACCAATCAAGAAGATTGCCCTGGAGGGAGACTGCCCGTAGACCTGCTCCATGAACTTAGGTTTGAAGGTGATCATCCCTATGAAGCCGTTAAATGCCACCACAGATGTCAGGATGATCAGCAGGTAGACTTTGTTGCTGAACAGTCTTTTCAGGGATGGCCCAAAATCTGGAAATAACAAGAAATAATACAATTCAGAAAGCATCCAGAAAGGCATATTCTAATATTCAATAGCGTCAAAATAGTTGGCAGGAAAATCTAATGTTTTTTGGGTGTATCATGCTTTAACAATACATTGACCACTCTAGGATAATTTCATAGATAAGGTATCCACCATATAAATGAAATGTGGCCAATGGAATGTGGTATTTGTAATAATTTGGCTGCAGTCAGAGTCTGTACTGTCGCAAGTAGTAGCCAAAGTATAAGTGACCAGCACTAAGGTGTCTGTCTTGAGCAACGCTTGGTCCTATATTAGTGCTGAAATGGGGTCAGGGGTTGGGGGTCTGTTAAGGGTCAGTGGCCAGACTCTGGGTCAGGTCTGTCAAGGCTGAAATGTTCATCAATGATTGAGGACACTGCAAGAATTCTACATCCCCAGTTCCATTAGTCACTAGCCTCTTTCCCCAGCACCTAACAACTCTGTGATCACAGATTTGAACGTATTGGACAGATGAAGGTTGGTCAGCAGAAACTCAACTTTGGGCAAAGTGGAGCCATTACTATTTCCAACACCTATCCTACCCTCTCTGAAGCTAGGTGAAAGGGCTAGGAATCTAAATGGAACCAATCCCACAATACCTTTAGCCATGGCAGCCATGGTGACAGGCTTTGGTGCATCCTCCTCAGTATTGTCCTCTGGTAGGAAACTGCCCTGCTCCTGCTCCTCCTCTGGGGTGTCAGATGAGCTCTTGGCCTGTATGTCATCCTTCTGTTTCTTTTTGCTGGGGCTCTTGCCCTGTTTAGGCAGAGTATTGGGGAGGAACCAAAATGGAATCCCAGCCAGGAGCATCAGGAAGCCAGATACCAGGAAGCCTAACCACCAGGCCCCCACCCAGCGAGAGTCCTTGTGGTTGATGGAGATGCTCTCTGTGGGTGGGAGAGAGATAAAGATGTGGGTGAATATGAGGGTGAACATGGTCAATTGATCAGACATTCCCTTAAAATAACTAACTGGGCTGCTGAATTTATAGTGCATATTCCATTATAATCTCAAATAAAATCAATAATATCAATGTTATCAAGTAATGATAAAAATGTGTAGAATCAGTTATATGGCTCAATCAGCTCTACAGAAATCCCTGGTAATCTTATCTCTCTAAGGAACATCATTACTAATGTTTGTACACAACAAATTCTCCAGTTGAATAAACTCTGTGTTACATTTAACACTGTTCCAGTGTCTATACGGGTCCACAATTTCAGTGTTAAATTTGCTTAGTGTAAAGCCTTATTTGTATGTTTCCCAGTGTGCCTTTTGATTTAATTGTAGAGTTATCACCGATGACTGTATTTGTTAGTGACAGAGACATGGTTGTTACATTCATTCTGTAGCTCAGCTGGTAGAGCATGGCGCTTGTAACGCCAAGGTAGTGGGTTCGATCCCCGGGACCACCCATACACAAAAATGTATGCACGCATGACTGTAAGTCGCTTTGGATAAAAGCGTCTGCTAAATGGCATATTATTATTATTATTATTATTCATTTTCAATCCTGTGGCCTTCACCAAGTGAGATCCTAAGTAAATATTTTTTAATTAAAATGTAATTCTTTAAGACAATACAATACACACACTGAGTGTACAAAACATTAAGAACGCCTTCATAATATTAAGTTTCATACTGTTCCAGATACTTTTGTATATACAGTGCATTCAGAAAGTATTCAGACCCCTTCCCTTTTTCCACATTTGTGACCCGTTTCAGGAAACAAGGCATATGTCGCGGGTCACTAATTCGCAGGAGAGCCGTTTGAATGTAAAAAATGTTTTTACATCAAAATGCGTTTTTTGGCAGAAATCCCTTCTCGAACATGTGAACTTTCATGTGCCTTAATAACAAACTTGTATGGCATCTGTAAATACAATTACAATTGTTAAATTACGAGCCTAGTTGGTTTAGCCAAAGAAAAAGACAGCAAATCTCCTGCTAGCCATGATTGGCTGAGATAATGAGTGGGCTGGACATGCCAAGAGATGTGTTTGGATTGGTCTGCCATATATCACGCTTCTGTCTATTTGAGCTGGTCAGTATGTCTAGGTAATCCGGTCTAATGCGGCTTTAATTATTTTTTATTGTGTATTAAAACTGCATAAGTGTTACTCTCCACTTTCTGGAGGACCGAGTTTTGAAATCAGTGGAATTCGAGTATGATAGCTAAGGAGATGGAGAAAACACCTCCGGATTACATCTTCAAACTAAGGGCAACCTTGTATCTGACAGATTTCTAATTTTGACAGAAAGAGCAATTTGCTTGGCTAGCTATAGTCTAATGTTAGCTAGCTAACATTGAACCTGGTTGGTTAGCTACCTGCAGATTCATGCAGGGTAGTAATGTCATGAGTTCTGACAATGGTTCATTGTTTACCTAGCTAGCTAACTAATGTTAGCTGGCTGGCTCGCTAGCTAACGTTACGTGTATGACCTTATTATTCGTACCTCAGAGACATTTGCTTAGCTAGCTATAGCTAATGTTAGCTAACATTGAACCTGGTTGGTTAGCTACCTGCAGATTCATGCAGGGTAGTAACATCATGAGTTGTGATTATGGTTAATTGTTAACCTAGCTAGCTAGCTACATGTCTTAACAAAAGACTCCACTATGCAAGTAACCATTTCAGGTGTGTTCGTAAATTCAGTCTGGCCATTACTCCGATATCAGAGCACTCTCGTCTGAGTGTGCCAGAGCGCAGAATAACTGATGAATTTACGAATGCTCAACACCCGTTGAATATGACCGGTGTCAGTAAACGTCAGCAAAAGTGTAATTAAATTGTTGCCAGCAGCACAGTTACAGACAACAACACTCTGGATAAAAAAAATATATTATGCACTCACTAACTGTAAGTCGCTCTGGATAAGAGCGTCTGCTAAATGACTAAAATGTAAAATGTAAATGACATGAAAACAGCCTAACCAGCTCTGCTAGGTTGAGTAAAATGGTCAGAGTGGGGTGTTCTCTCATTATGTTTCTGGAAGTAGCTAGCAAGCTAGCCAATGTTAGCCAGAATGCCATTGTGAGGTCAGAACGTTCGGATCAAACCTACTCATCGGCCAGAGCGTCCGGTGTGCGCTCTAAACGCTCCGAGAGCGACACGTTTTGAATTTACGAACTGACAATCTGACAGCACAGTTGCAGTCACCAACGCTCTGGATAACATAACATCCTAACCAGCTCTGCTAGGGCGAATAATGTTCAGTGAGCTGTTCTGTCATTTGTGTCTGGAAGTAGCTAGCAAGTTAGCTTGGGCGCTTGACTTCTGTTGTTAGTACAGAATGCTCGGATCAACCCTTAAAGAGATGGGTGGGGCTAAAGCTTAAGAGGGTGTGAACGATGTTGAATGGGTGTTGACAAAGAAGGGCTCTCCAGTAGTAGTACCAAAAGATTCAAAGGCCATTTTCTCAAACGTGAGTTTACAAGTTTATCATCTTTCAAAGAAAAATTACTTTCCCATTGTTCCTCAACTGTAGTGTATGATATACCATTTTGTAGCTCTGAGTCTCTACTTTTATCCAATGTAAAAAACACAATTTCAAATGTGTATACATAACACCGATTTGAGCCGGTCGGTCACATTTTGCCTTACATAAGTATTCAGACCCTTTGCTATGAGACTCGAAATTGAGTTCAGGTGCATCCGGTTTCAATTGATCATCCTTGAGATGTTTTTACAACTTGATTGGACTCCACCTGTGGTAAATTCAATTGATTGGACATGATTTGGAAAGGCACACACCTGTCTATATAAAGGTCCCACAGTTGACACTGCATGTCAGAGCAAAAACCAAGCCGTGAGGTCGAAGGAATTGTCCGTAGAGCTCCGAGACAGGATAGTGTCGAGGCACAGATCTGGGGAAGTGTACCAAAAAATGTCTGCAGCATGGAAGGTCCCGAAGAACACAGTGGCCTCAATCATTCTTAAATGGAAGACTTTTGGAACCACCAAAAAAACCACCTAAAGCTGGCCGCCTGGCCAAACTGAGCAATCGGGGGAGAAAGGCCATGGTCAAGGAGGTGACCAAGAACCCGATGGTCACTCTGACAGAGCTCCAGAGTTCTTCTGCAGAGATGGGAGAACCTTCCAGAAGGACAATCATCTTTGCAGCACTCCACCAATCAGGCCTTTATGGTAGAGTGGCCAGACAGAAGCCACTCTTCAGTATAAGGCAAATGACAGCCCACTTGGAATTTGCCAAAAGGCACCTAAAGGACTCTCAGACCATAAGAAACAAGATTCTCTGGGCTGATGAAACCAAGATTGAACTCTTTGGCCTGAATGCTAAGCGTCACGTCTGGAGGAAACCTGGCACCATCCCTACAGTGAAGCATGGTGGTGGCAGCATCATGCCGTGGGGATGTTTTTCAGCGGAAGGGACTGGGAGACTAGTCAGGATCGAGGGAAAGATGAACGGAGCAAAGTACAGAGAGATCCTTGATGAGGACCTAAGACTGGGGGCAAAGGTTCACCTTCCAACAGGACAACAACCGTAAGCACACAGCCAAGACAACGCAGGAGTGGCTTCGGGATAAGTCTCTGAATGTCCATGAGTGGCCCAGCCAGAGCCCAGACTTTAACCCGATCGAACATCTCTTGAGAGACCCGAAAATAGCTGTGCAGAGACGCTCCACATCCAACCTGACAGAGCTTGAGAGGATCTGTAGAGAAGAATGGGAGAAACTCCTCAAATACAGGTGTGGCAATCTTGTAGCGTCATACCCAAGAATACTTGAGGCTGTAATCACTACCAAAGGTGCTTCAACAAAGTACTGAGTGAAGGGTCTGAATACTTATGTACAGTACCAGTCAAAAGTTTGGACACACCTAGTCATTCAAGGGTTTTTCTTTATTTTTACTATTTTCTACATTGTAGAATAATAGTGAAGACATCAAAACTATGAAATAACACATATGGAATCATGTAGTAACCAAAAAAGTGTTAAACAAATCCAAATATATTTGATATTTTAGATTCTTAAAAGTAGCCACCCTTTGCCTTGATGACAGCTTTGCACACTCTTGGCATTCGCCCAATCAGCTTCATGAGGAATGCTTTTCCAACAGTCTTGAAGGAATTCCTACATATGCTGAGCACTTGTTGGCTGCTTTTCCTTCACTGCGGTCCAACTCATCCCAAACCATCTGAATTGGGTTGAGGTCGGGTGATTGTGGAGGCTAGGTCATCTGATGCAGCACTCCATCACTCTCCTTTGTCAAATAGCCCTTACACAGCCTGGAGGTGTGTTTTGGGTCATTGTCCTGTGAAAAACAAATGATAGTCCCACTAAGCGCAAACCAGATGGGATGGCGTATCGCTGCAGAACGCTCTGGTAGCCATGCTGGTTAAGTGTGCCTTGAATTCTAAATAAAATCACTGACAGTGTCACCAGCAAAGCACCCACACACCTCCTCCTCCATGCTTCACGGTGGGAACCACACATGCAGAGATCATCCGTTCACCTACTCTGCGTCTCACAAAGACACAGCGGTTGGAACCAAAAATCTCAAATTTGGACTCATCAGACCAAAGGACCGATTTCCTTCAGTCTAATGTCCATTGCTCATGTTTCTTGGCCCAAGCAAGTCTCTTCGTATTATTGGTGTCCTTTAGTAGTGGTTTCTTTGCAGCAATTCGATCATGAAGGCCTGATTCCTGCAGTCTCTTCTGAACAGTTGATGTTGAGATGTGTCTGTTACTTGGACTCTGTGAAGCATTTATTTGGGCTGCAATTTCTGAGGCTGGTAACTCTAATGAATGTATCCTCTGCAGCAGAGGTAACTCTGGGTATTCCTTTCATGCGGTGGTCCTCACGAGAGCCAGTTTCATCATAGCGCTTGATGGTTTTTGCGACTGCACTTGAAGAAACTTTCAAAGTTCTTGAAATGTTCTGTATTGACTGACCTTCATGTCTTAAAGTAATTATGGACTGTCGTTTCTCTTTGCTTATTTGAGCTGTTCTTTTTTTTCTTTAATTTTTTTTGTGTGTAAAATAATATATATATATATATTTGAGCTGTTCTTTCCATAATATGGACTAATATTGTCTTTTACCAAACAGGGCTATCTTCTCTATACCATCCCTACCTGCTAAAACGCATTTAGAAGGAAAGAAATTCCACAAATGAACTTTTAACAAGGCACACCTGTTAATTGAAATGCATTCCAGGTGATTACCTCATGAAGCTAGTTGTAAGAATGCCAAGAGTGTGCAAAGCTGTCATCATGCAAAAGGTGGCTACTTTGAGCAATCTCAAATATAAAATATATTTTGATTTGTTAAAAAAATGTTGGTTACTACATGATTCCATATGTGTTATTTCATAGTTCACTATTATTCTACAATGTTGTAAATAATAAAAATAAAGAAAAACCCTGGAATGAGTAGGTGTGTCCAAACTTTTGACTGGTACTGTAAATGTGATCAGTTTTTTATTTTTAATTAATGTGGAAACATTTCTAGAAACCTGTTTTTGGTTTGTCATTATGGGGTATTGTGAGTAGATTGATTAGGAAAAATAACTAGTTAATCCATTTTAGAATAAGGTTGTAACATAACAAAATGTGGAAAAAGTCAAGGGTTCTGAATACTTTCCGAAGGCACTGTAAAGTGCACGTGGACACCCCTTCAAATTCGGCTATTGCAGCCACACCCGTTGCTGACAGGTGTATAAAATCGAGCACATAGCCATGCAATCGCCATAGACAAACATTGGCAGTAGAATGGCCTTACTGAAGAGCTCAGTGACTTTCAACGTGACACCGTCATAGGATGCCACCTTTACAACAAGCAGTTCATCAAATTTCTGCCCTGCTAGAGCTGAGCCGTTCAACTGTAAGTGCTGTTATTATGAAGTGGAAACATCTAGGAGCAAAAACGTCTAATCCGCGAAGTGGTAGGCCGCACAAGCTCACAGAACGGGACCGGCGAGTGCTGAAGCGCGAAGCGTGTAAAAATCGTCTGTCCTCGGTTGCAACACTCACTACCGAGTTCCAAACTGCCTCTGGAAGTAACGTCAGCACAATAACTGTTCGTCGGGAGCTTCATGGGTTTCCATGGCCAAGCAGCCGCACACAAGTCTAAGATCACCACGCGAAATGCCAAGCGTCGGCTGGAGTGGTGTAAAGCTCACCGCCATTGGACTCTGGAACGGTGGAAACGCGTTCTCTGGAGTGATGAATCATGCTTCTCCATCTGGCAGTCCAACGGACGAATCTGGGTGTGGCGGATGACAGAAGAACGCTACCTGCCCGAATGCATAGTGCCAACTGTGAAGTTTGATGGAGGAGGAATAATGGTCTGGGGCTGTTTTTCATGGTTTGGGTTAGGCCCCTTAGTTCCAGTGAAGGAAATCTTAACGCTACAGCACACAATTACATTCTAGACGATTCTGTACTTCCAACTTTGTGGCAACAGTTTGGGGAAGGCCCTTTCCTGTTTCAGCATGGCAATGCCCCGTGCACAAAGCGAGGTCCATACAGAAATGGTTTGTCAAGATCGGTGTGGAAGAACTTGAGTGGCCTGCACAGAGTCCTGACCTCAACCCCGACGAACACCTTTGGGATGAATTGGAACGCAGACTCGAGCCAGGCCTAATCGCCCAACATCAGTGCCCGACCTCACTAATGCTCTTGTGGCTGAATGGAAGAAAGTCCACGCAGCAATGTTACAACATGTAGTGGAAAGCCTTCCCAGAAGAGTGGAGGCTGTTATAGCAGCAAAGGGGTGACCAACTCCATATTAATGCCTATGATTGTGGAATGAGATGTTCGACGACCAGTTGTCCACATACTTTTGGTCATGTAGTGTAGATAGGCTAATTCCTCTCTTAATGAAAACAGATTTAAATGTTTCTTGTTTTAGAAATGACCTTCAGCACCCAGCAGGTGCCAACCAATAAACCGAGATGACCCAACCCGTCTGCAAACAGACCATACACAAACAACTATCCTCTCACATGATTTAGCAACACCCACTTGCTGAGGATTATTTCTGTCTGTAAAACTCATTCTGAGTGGGTGGGTCTGGTTGCCAAGTAGGTGGGCTTATGCCCTCCCAGGCCAACCCATGGCTTCACCCCTGCCCAGTAATGTGAAATCCATAGATTAGGGCCTCATGAATTTCTTTCAATTGACTGATTTCTTTATATGAACTGTAACTCAGTAAAATCTTAGAAATTGTACGTGTGTCGTTTATATTTTTGTTGAAGACACATATTAGTAACACATATTCCGCCATAAATACAATATTGATTTGCACATATAAATACAACACAGCTTACATAAAATAGACAATGTATGATTTGTTAATTCAAGGGTCGGTTACCTAAATCCACAGAGCCAATGTCCACATAGATCTTGGCACAGAAGGAGCCAAACATGAAGCCAAATACGGGCCCCAGGATGCCAACAGTCTGTAAACACGCTGAGGCAGAGGAGACAGAGAGAGTTGGTCAGGTACAGTTCAACCAGCAAGCAAAAGAAAAGACAATAGATTTAACTGAAGTCACTTCAGTTGTTTGGCCACATTCGTTTGCCATATGGTTTGCCATAGCTGATACATCTAAATCAGCTACTGATATTTGTAGGATAGTGTAAGGCAGGGTTCTTCAATTCCGGTCCTGGAGGGCCGAGACACCTCTGTTTTTCATCCTCTCCTTCTAATCAGGGGCTAATTCAGACATGGGACACCAGGTGAGTGCAATTAACTACCAGGTAGAAATAAAAAACAGAAGTGTTTCGGCCCTCCAGGACCGGAATTGAAGAACCCTGGTGTAAGGGATCGGGGGTTGGCTGGGTCTAGACAGAGTCTGACACTTCCCCGATCTACAGAGAGGGGGAGTCATCAGACTCGATCTGGTTCACCTGAGTTCTGAGCACACCTGTCAGTAATTAGTGTAGGATTTAAGGTGTGCTCAGAAGCTCAGTCGGCGCGAGGTATTGTTCCTTTGTGACTTGCTAAGCGTTTTGTTCAGAGAGAGAGAGAGAGAGAGTGAGAGAGAGAGAGAGAGAGAGAGAGTGAGAGAGAGAGAGAGAGAGAGAGAGAGAGATCGAGAGAGAGAGAAGAGAGAGACGACGATCTTTATCGCTCCGCACGCGCGAATGAGGCGCGCGACTCCTATCGCTCGCGAAGAGACGCGCTGTGCGCTCGCTAGCGGGATAGAGAATATAGGAGAGAGAGAGAGATGTTTTGATTACCCGTGTACCCGACCTGTGCCTCGTTGTTTGACTCCCCGAATTGGTTAATCCTCTGCTTGTCTATCCCAGTGATTACCGTCCTCTGATCCTGTGCCTGTGCCCTCGACTACGACTAAGCCCGCTCCCTTGGTACCTCTGCCTGTCTCTGCCTGACCCGGTTTTGACCACAGCCCGCCCGACCACGATTAAGCTATTCCCTTGTCTGTACTCTAATAAAGCATCGCTATTCTGCGATTGGATCTTACCACTCTGTCCGAGTATTCATTACAGATAGCAGATTTTGATATGGAATGCCTGAAGAGGTTGTTTCTAACCAAGGTTTACATGATTTGCCAGACTAAAATACAGTTTGATACAAATCAAGTAACAACAGCTCACATTTTTATGTGTTAGGTGTTGGGTGAAGTTGCCAAGTTGCAGATCTTGGGTCAGTTTTGCATTTCCCTCACTAATGGTTAAGCTTAGAATTGAGGAGGGGAATCCTAGATCTACGCCTTGGGGAAACTTCAACCGGGAGCGATGTGGTATGGAAGAGGTTGAAGAGATACAGTATTTACTATCCAATGTTGATATGGTACAGCTGACAGTTTTTTTTTTTACTAACCAAGGTAGATGGCAGTGTTCTCCTTTCGGGCATAGTCGTCCAGATAGGATACTCCTAAAGGCATGACAGGCGTCTCTCCAATCCCACGCAGCATGTTACCCAGGAATACATAGATCCACATGGACGAGCCTGCCTCCTTCTCACATGCTGTGGGAACACAATTTCTGCTTAGAACACCATTTCTTAATCCTGGTCCTGGGGACCCATTTTTGTTTTTGCCCTATTAATAAGGCACTTGATTCAACTAATCCACTCAACAATCCTTTGATTTAAATCAGATGTGTTAGGGCTAGGACAAAAACAAAAAAGTACAACATTTTGGGTTCTTAGGACCAGGATTTGGGAAAATAATTGCTTATACAACTAGGATAGGATAGGATCAACTTTTCTGGAATGGAATTAATGGAACGGAGTCAAACGTACTTTCCATTTGTTTGATACCGTTCCATTGATTCCATTCCATTTATTCCATTGAGCCCGTCCTCCTACTAGCCTCATCTGGTTTGCCGGTAATACTTTATCTACACTTGAATTCATAGGAATCATTTATTGAACAAGGTTCCCAGATGCAGCCAGACTGATGCTGCAGTGATGGTGATTGACTCGTTACCTGCTTTACTCGCAGCTGTAGCCTGATCATTTATGACCAGATGACTTGTGTTGGCCAGACAAGGCAGAATGCTCTCTGTAGTGTTTTCCTCAAGTATATGTGACAGGGTTGTTTCATATACGTACCTGCATGGGAAATAAATTAAATGTATCTTTCCTCTATAAAGTGGGACAGTAGTTGTGAGAAGTTCTGAGAAGCCACATATCCCTTCTTTATACCCAAGCATTTCTTTGTTGTTTTTTGTACGACTTCTTCAGAAGTGTTAAGATTTTCTTTCAATTCTTTATCGTCATGCCTTATGTTTACTTACATGTACACTACTGTTCAAAAGTTTTGGGTCACTTAGAAATGTCCTTGCAATTTTATTGTCCATTAAAATAACATCAAATTGATATGAAATACAGTGTAGACATTGTTAATGTTGTAAATGGCTATTGTAGCTGGAAACGGCTGATTTTTTATGGAATATCTACATAGGCGTACAGAGGCCCATTATCAGCAACCATCAGTCCTGTGTTCCAATGGCATGTTGTTTTTGCGAATCCAAATGTATCATTGTAAAAGGCTAATTGATCATTAGAAAACCCTTTTTCAATTATGTTAGCACAGCTGAAAACTGTTGTGCTGATTAAAGAAGCAATAAAACTGGCCTTCTTGAGACTAGTTGAGTATCTGGAGCATCAGCAATTGTGGGTTCGATAAAGGCTCAAAATGGCCAGAAACAAATAACTTTCTTCTGAAACTCGTCAGTCTATTCTTGTTCCGAGAAATGAAGGCTATTTCATTCGAGAAATTGCCAAGAAACTGAAGATCTCATACAACGCTGTGTACTACTCCCTTCACGGAACAGCGCAAACTGTCACTAACCAGAATAGAAAGAGGAGTGGGAGGCCCCGGTGCACAACTGAGCAAGAGGACAAATACATTAGAGTGTCTAGTTTGAGAAACAGACGCCTCACAGGCCCTCAACTGGCAGCTTCATTAAATAGTACACGCAAAAAACCAGTCTCAACGTCAACAGTGAAGAGGCGACTCCGGGATGCTGACCTTCTAGGCAGAGTTGCAAGGACATTTCTAAGTGACCCCAAACTTTTGAACGTAGTGTATATACTATTAACATATATACACAGTCTATAGATAGTCAATAAACCAAATAAGAGGTAGACTTACTTTCCCTGGAAGAAGTGTGGCAGAGCGGTGAGGAAGGCCCCAGCAGCCATGATGAGACAGCCAATCCCTATCAGTCTGGGCCTGTGGAGCTTCGCCCCAAAGTAACTCACAAATGCTATCACCAGCAGGTTACCTGGTAGGAGAGAGAAGAGACAACCATGGTATAATCAATGAGTAATGTTTATGGAGATAAAGTTAAAAGGCAAAACCTCACAGGGCACAGGCTTTTATTGTTCAGAATCAAATAAACCCTTATACTTCTTTGATTATATATCTGAAAGGATTGTGAGAAAATTCCACCTAGCCCATCACAGTGCTTTAACTTTCAACCTTATTTGTCCCAGAGGAATTTTGGTTGTGCAGCAAGACCACACATAAAAAGACCCAAAATAGGTGGAGCCCTATATCTGTACTGCTTACACACTTTCAGATGTTCAGGACAAGTATCTCGGGCTAAGGGCGAGGGGTTGATGTCCTCTTAAAGAACAATAAACATCATCTATTGATTTCGGGGACTGGGCAAATACGGCCTTAGGACTAGGTATTTAGGAAATTAGGATTTAGGTCTACCCATCTCAAAGCTGCCATCGATGAATCCTATGAGAGAGCTGGGGATGTCGAAGCGTCTCTCTATCTGGGTGATAGAGCTCTTCATGTAGCTTCCCCCGAAGGCTTTGGCGAAGCACACAAAGGACAGGGAAACCAGGAACAGCTGTGAAAATAAACACAAAGCAGAGTTAGATGAAGGCAATGTCCCTACAGTCTAGATGTTGATCTGAGGCCAGATTTGTGTTTCCCAGATTATTGGGGTTTGGGAAGGGTAAACTGATATCCTAAAACTACCCAGAGCACACAAAACAACTTTGAAGGGTCAGAAAAACATGAGTTTGGTTTGTTTGACATCACTTCAGCTGTCCTACATTCAGTTGACTGTTTGATTTGATTTGATTTAATCAGACAGAACATCTACTGTAGTTCAAGACAATCCTAAATCAACGAGTGATACCCAGACACAGAAAACCAGACTCTGACCCATTTGGAATAGGTGTTTTCATCCAGCCATGTGCTCATGTCGCCTGAGTTATGCAGTCATAACAGACAAAGTAAAAGGTTATCGACCATCATAACAGTCAGTTCTAGGGAATCATTTGTGTACGTATCTATAAGTGAATGTATGTGTGTATACAGTATGTATGGCTGAATAAATACAAACGCTGTGTTTCAACCAAATGTTTAGGTTGAAAAACTGCTTTGTCATTTTACAGGTCTGGCTGTTGGATGACACAGCAAAACATGTAACTCTTGTATCTGCCCCCTCCTCTCCACCCCTCCTACTTACTAACCTATTTCCCTATTTGGCCTCCCTCCCTTCAGTCCCTTCATTTACATTTACATTACATTTTAGTCATTTAGCAGACGCTCTTATCCAGAGCGACTTACAGGAGCAATTAGGGTTAAGTGCCTTGCTCAAGGGCACATCGACAGATTTTTCACCTAGTCGGCTCGGGGATTAGAACCAGCGACCTTTCGGTTACTGGCACAACGCTCTTTCCCACTAAGCTACCTGCCGCCCCATTTCAGATATAGTTAAGAGTTTGTTTGCTCTTTTATTAGTCAATCTGCCATTGGTGTTTTTTGTAAAAGACTGAACCTGAGCTGTAAACAGAATACACAATTAAAGAGCTGTCGGTAAAGGTCTGGGTCAGAGGCTATCCATTAACTACGTTTACACAATCACCTTTATCCCATTTGCAATAGTCAACGGCAGCAAATATAAAAGCCAGGCTGTTATGTAAAAATCTTCCCAGCTTGAAATAGTTCCCAATCGTTCTGATCGTGTTCTGATTGTGACGTCATGCTGTAAAGTTTCACAAAGTTAGAACATTTTCCCTGTTCAATAATTGCATGCACATCTCTTTATGTGGATGGCTGAGCTCGTGCGGATGCCTCCTTCTCACACCCTCCCTAGACCTCGAAAAACTATTCTGTGGGCAGTTAAGTTCTCCTTGCAAGTTCGGTTTGGACCACTATTAAGTTCCAAATGTTTCTTTCACAGTACATCTAATTTGACTGTTTCTCTACATCATCTACTAGGAGGCATACGTCCTTACTACCCAGAAAACCCTGAAGATTAAATGAGTGCCAACTAGTTACCATCACAGAGAGTCAGGGTGATGATATTAGGAATTAAAACACTGACCTTCAGTTTGGAGCAGCAAGGCTCCCGGGGTGCCTTAGTTTCAACACTCATGATGACCTCCGCAGTTGACACAGGTAAATGTAGAATGAACCAGCGGACCTACAGACAGACGGCAAGATCTGGGGTTGACTACTGTGATTATCAAAACCTTCTGGAGAACCTAATTTTCTTAGGTACAGCAAATCATTGCAGCTATGCAGGTTAAGCATTACATAATAATTCTATCCTCCTGTTGCTCTAGTCATTATACCAATTATCAATCAAATCAGTCAACATACTGTGCACAACACACACTATCTAGCACAATGAATGTTGTGAAATACAATATATTGATAAAAAAAAATACAAAAATACCTGTTTTTACCAGTGCAGCAGCAGAGGTCCCACAAGGAGATGGAGAGATGTGTTAGAGTGGCAGAGGATTTCACTGACAGGACTTTGGTTGAAGAGCAAACCTTTATCTCAGAGGCATTATAACACAGGGAGTTTGGATCCTGGATGTTGATTGGCTGAAACTATAACATCCATTCTACAGTAATCAGTAACCCGCAGGACACCACTTATGTGAACTATTTGATCATGTCAACATGCAGGTCGTCCCCTAAAAAAACGTGAGTGTCCATGAGAGAGGTAGGACCCAATCATAGGAATCCTAGAGCAGAGAGTCCACAAGGTTCACGGAATACTATGGCACAGACGCAAAACACATAGACATAAACACGCTCACACATTTACACACACACACACACACAACTGCTGTCCTCATGGAGAGAACATCATATGAGAGACTCCATGATACACTGTAAATCCTCTTCTTGAGTCCTACTACTAAAAACAGTGTATTTTACAAGCCTGTCATGTGTAGAATTAAAGTATTAATCTTCTACAGACTTGCAGTGATTAAGGTCCTTTTTCCTCCCTCATGAAACTCAGGAATGTTTTTATAAAGCAGGGTGTAGCCATGCCAGTTCAAAGTCTTCCAGGTCTTTGATATAGAGTTTCAAACAATGTCGCTCTCCCATAACTGCGGATGGGACAGGAGGCTGTGGAACAATGGTTCTCAACCAGGGGAGTTAGAACACCTAGTGGGCCTTACAGAGTTCTGACGGGTCTATGGAAAAGCATAATAAACGAACAACATGCCAACATGAATAGAAAAACATCAGCAACAAGAACAAAACATTTTATGGAAGAGCATTGTTAGTTGTTTCAATGTGAATATGTTGTTCTTGTTTAATATGAAGACAAAATGATTAGTGTTTGTGACAATGTTCCATTTAATTTCAGTGGGGTTTCCTCTTTAAAATGTTATCTCAGAAAATATTTATATAATTCTTACAGGTGGTCTCCAGATTTGACAGGTGTCACAGTAGGCCCCGGAGAGGAAAGGTTGAGAATGCCTGGCAGCCATAGAACTGCCATAGAAAAAGATCCTGATTGGTAGGTAATAGTGCATCTATACATCTCTGATAGGATTAGCACTGAATTAGCAACTTTCGTTGAATTCAGCTAATCAATACTGATGTTAATTTATCAGATTAATCTTAATCAATACTTATGCTAATTCAATTAATGCTAATTAATCAATGAAATTCAACTGATTGTGTTAAGTAAATGGTTATTCAATGTAGACGCTTCAGTACTTTATTTAAAATAAATCAGCAAAATCAATGTGGTTACAGTTCTTGAAACGATTGGCAAACATACAGTACTTGTATAACTAAAATAAACATTTCAATATAATAAGAAAATCACATTAAAATTGGAGATGCAGTCATTTAGATTAAAAAGTGCTGGGTTGATCAGTAAAATATTTCCTATGTGAAATCTATGGAATACATACAATCAACAATATGCTACATACAATGTTCCACTTCCTGCACTGGAACAGCGTATATGCAATATAGAAAAAGGCCTTTCGACCAATGTGCACTAGCTGAAAAACCTATTATACTAATGAAAATGTAAGACATTGTTCTGCACGTACCATACTGTATACCCTCAACACACAGACCAATACATTATTATAAGGAGAAAGGTAGCAGAATCTAGAAAAAACATGGATTTGGCAAATTTTCACCATCTTAATAACAGTTCAATATTAAATGTTTTGTTTGTGTGCATATACGTTCAGAACACAAGGCAATGTTTACCGCAATATACTGCAGTCATGGCACTCGCAGCTGGTAACATGTGCATACAGGTGGTGCATAACGGAGCCCCGTGTACAGGTCAGATTCACTGACTTCCTCTCATAACTCCTCACTCTGCAACACTCACACTTCTGTTCCAGTTGGAGAATACTGCCAGCAACAACCCATCTGAGGTTTAGAGAGAGGGAGGAGAAAAAGACCAGAGAAGATAAGACCTTCACATTGTAGTTATGTCACACTCTTATCCAGAGCAACATACAATAAGTGCATTAATAATCTTTGACCAGTCTCACCTTGTCTCTGTCCCACACTGGCCTTGACATATGGGCAGTTGTAGTGTTGCTGTGCAGTTGTCTACAGTGATGTTCACACTAGAAACCCTTGGAGCACAGGTCTGGTTACCTGGGGTAGAGAGAATGGCAGTGTGTGAGTGGAAAGAATGCATCAACCTCATTATCATCACAGTTTTTGCTCTGAACTAAAGTGCTCTATGTTGAAAACTTTAACAATTGTTTTAACAGTGGACTAATAAACAAAATACTAAAATACAGCTTGAGTGAACTAACCCTTTAATACAGTTCAGAGTTACATTGTAAATAATCATCCCTTGGAGCTATAAGCAATAGATACACAAAGAATAGGAAACGTTCTATTGTTGTTGATTTTCTAGTCTCTTCTTGCAGTGGAAACGTCCACATTGAATAAGTGAACCACCTCATTTCAACCACTAGATGTCCGGCTCCCTCTCTCTTCTCTCTCAGTGGTCAGCGTGACCAGATATGATAATTTACGTACAACAGACTGGAGATAAGAGTTAGCTTACATGTGTAGCAGCAATGTTGTTCGTCCCATACTCTGTCCTCCTAGAAACAAAACAAGTTATACTGAAAATAATTGGATGTCATATAGTTCCATACTTTGTGACAGCTGTTGATGTAAAAATGTCTTTTTAAATACATTTGATACATTTGATTGATACAGAGAAAGAGCAGCAGGTACCTCTGAGCAGTTCTGATGGGGACACACCCTTCTCTCTGTCTGAGTGCCTTCTCTGGTACAACTATATGACTCACAGGGCAGGGCAAGGTCTGTCCATCTGTCTCCCACCTAACCAAACAGGCACATAGACATCAGATAAGGAGAGCTGCCATGATGGAAATGCTGTCAATGTGTTTATTTTCCTGGTACAGTAGCTATATAAAGTTGGTATTTCTAAACATCTGGATGCTTACTTTGTAGGTCCTTCCGTTATAGTTACACGTCTTCTCAACTGCAAAGTAAAGTGAGGTAAGGTGAGCACTAAGAAGGTGAGTGTATTTAGAAACACACTATACAAAAGACATGTATCATTATTATTCAGTATCAGATCCATTATCTTACCACACGTCTCTTTGCCACAGCAGTCAGAGACCAGGACGGAGTTCTGACTGCAGAGAGGAGAGGGGGAGGGGGGTTCGGGTTGACACTCCTCTGTCTTGGTCAGGTGGTTACACTTACACACCTGACAGTTGGACTGCCATGTCTCCCCAAGCTGTAAAACATAAGAACATTAATACTAATACTAAAAAGTACCAGTATATCAGCTCTGTAATAACAGTGTTTTAATCATGGAGCCATGAAAGCACATGGTCTTCTCACCTGCTTGTTTTCTCCCAGTGGACCCTTACAGTCTGGAAGACATGATGAAGAGGTTGAACTTATTCCGCATAAAACATCAGTATAGTATGCAGGGTTGGGGCCAATTCCAATCTAATTTGAAATTCCAATTCAATTCTTGAATTCACTCATGAAATGGAGAATATATGTTGAATTCAATTCGAATGTCAACAATCTTCAAGTTCTTGAATTTGAAATTATTTGGAATTAAACTGTTTGGACTGTTTGAATTGGAATTGGAATTGAAAAACATAAAATGTTTGGAAGTGAATTGGAATTTAATATTTGTATATTTCCCAGTTAATGAAATGAATGCACAAAGTATGACAAAATGACTGCAGGATTTATTTTAAAATAATTTCAACTTGTATTTCTATATTTCCAGTATAGCTAGGCTGTCTAAACAGTGACATGATCAGTCTGAAAGCCTGAAGGAATTGAATTCAAATGTGTGGAATTGTTGGGGATAATGTTGAATTACAGTGAGGGAAAAAAGTATTTGATCCCCTGGTGAATTGTACGTTTGCCCACTGACAAAGACATGATCAGTCTATCATTTTAATGGTAGGTTTATTTGAACAGTGAGAGACACAATAACAACAAATAAATACAGAAAAACGCATGTCAAAAATGTTATGAATTGATTTGCATTTTAATGAGGGAAATAAGTATTTGACCCCTCTACAAAACATGACTTAGTACTTGGTGGCAAAACCCTTGTTGGCAATCACAGAGGTCAGACGTTTCTTGTAGTTGGCCACCAGGTTTGCACAAATCTCAGGAGGGATTTTGTCCCACTCCTCTTTGCAAATCTTCTCCAAGTCATTTTCGTAGGCTGAGGTTTGGCAACTCGAACCTTCAGCTCCCTCCACAGATTTTCTATGGGATTAAGGTCTGGAGACTGACTAGGCCACTCCAGGACCTTAATGTGCTTTTTCATGAGCCACTCCTTTGTTGCCTTGGCTGTGTGTTTTGGGTCATTGTCATGCTGGAATACCCATCCACGACCCATTTTCAATGCCCTGGCTGAGGGAAGGAGGTTCTCACCCAAGATTTGACGGTACATGGCCCCGTCCATCGTCCCTTTGATGCGGTAAAGTTGTCCTGTCCCCTTAGCAGAAAAACACCCCCTAAGCATAATGTTTCCTCCTCCAAACACGGCGAGTTGAGTTGATGCCAAAGAGCTCCATTTTGGTCTCATCTGACCACAACACTTTCACCCAGTTCTCCTCTGAATCATTCAGATGTTCATTGGAAAACTTCAGACGGGCCTGTATATGTGCTTTCTTGAGCAGGGGGACCTTGCGTGTGCTGCAGGATTTCAGTCCTTCATGGCGTAGTGTGTTACCAATTGTTTTCTTGGTGACTATGGTTCCAGCTGCCTTGAGATCATTGACAAGATCCTCCCGTGTAGTTCTGGGCTGATTCCTCACCATTCTCATGATCATTGCAACTCCACGAGGTGAGATCTTGCATGGAGCCTCAGGCCGAGGGAGATTGACAGTTATTTTGTGTTTCTTCCATTTGCGAATAATTGAACCAACTGTCACCTTCTCACCAAGCTGCTTGCCAATGATCTTGTAGCCCATTCCAGCCTTGTGTAGGTCTACAATCTTGTCCCTGACATCATTGGAGAGCTCTTTGGTCTTGGCCATGGTGGAGAGTTTGGAATCTGATTGATTGATTACTTCTGTGGACAGGTGTCTTTTATACAGGTAACAAACTGAGATTAGGAGCACTCCCTTTAAGAGTGTGCTCCTAATCTCAGCTCGTTACCTGTATAAAAGATACCTGGGAGCCAGAAATCTTTCTGATTGAGAGGGGGTCAAATACTTATTTCCCTCATTAAAATGCAAATCAATTTATAATATTTTTGACATGTGTTTTTTTCTGGATTTCTTTGTTGTTATTCTGTCTCTCACTGTTCAAATAAACCTACCATTACAATTATAGACTGATAATTTTTTTGTCAGTTGGCAAACGTACAAAATCAGCAGGGGATCAAATGCTTTTTTCCCTCACTGTAAGAATTTAATTAATGTAATTTACCTTACATTGGAATTGAGAGGAATTAAAGTATCACTGAATTTAAAGTGATCTGGAATTTGAATTAAATTAAATGGAATATACAGGGAGAGGGAATTGAATTATAATCTAATTAGTGAAATTAACCCCAACCCTGATAGTATGTATAAATTGCATGCCTGGAGGTCATGACAGTCAATGTGTTCAGATTAAATCCTGATTTGGGATACTCTTAGAACAGCATTTCACAAACTCGGTCCTCGGGACCCGAAGGGGTGCATGTTTTATTTTTAGCCCTAACACTATCAAAGCTTGATGATTAGTTTTTTATTTGAATCAAATGTGTAGTGATAAGGCAAAAACCAAAATGTGCACCCCTTGGGGTCCCAAGAACAGAGTTTAGCATATCTAAGATGTTCACAAGTTAAACTTCAACCTATGCAAGTGGATTTCTCAAGTTAGGATTTGGCCCTAGGCTCAAGAGAGAATCCCAAACTCCACTCACAGGGACACTCCGACACACAAATGTACTTGTGCTCTTCAGCTCTGAACTGTCCTCTGAGACAGAAACATCCAGCCTTAACTTCCTGCAGTACTCTCCCTGGAACACGGACTCTGCAGAAAGAACGTGGAACAATTAGAAGACTAACTTTTTAATAAAAAAAATTGAAACTTTTAGACACACGTAAAATGTACTGTGTTAAATAGTGTTAGGACAACGGGAGATGGATTCACTTACCCTCCGTGACAGTAGTCATCCAACTGGCCTTGGCACTCTCTGTACACCATCCCAGTTGGGCACCCAACAGCTGAAATAAATAACAAAGTTATTTAGGAAATAAATGTTATTTCTCTCTTCTTGTCCTTGTGTCTTAATGAATTTCCCCAGCACCAGTACACCATGATGGATGAATGATTAAAAAAATAAAAAATAAAAATACAACTACATTTCTTAATTTTTTTATCAATGTCCCAGTTGATTTTCCAAGCACCAATACACATATCAGAAAGTTTTAGAAACGTTAAAAAAAAAAGTTCAATTACCACAGGTCCCGTTGGTGAGTTGTCTCCAGTTCACACAGATGCCTGCTTTCTTACACTCCTCAACAGCCTGCTCCAGAGGAGAACAAGCCATGTCGTTCCTCTCACACGAATCAAACCTACAGTTCCTCTCAAGCTGGCTCAGATCCACCCGCCAACTGCAATCTGCAAAAACTCTGTAATGACACATACCAACAGACTGATCAACATACAGGAAAATACACCTTCTCAATACTTTTACAACATTGTTTTTGGCACAAAACAAAATCAGTGTTTATGTTGCATTGTTTTATCTCAATATAATGATTTATCATAGCTGTCACATCAACATTGAATGAAACGCCACAGATTTCTGACCATTTGGGAGATCGTCATGTGAAACAAATCAAATCAAATTGAACTGAATTGAATCATCCTACGGGTGATGGAGAAGGTCACAGAGGGGGCTGCCAGGACAGCTGGTGGTTGTGGTTGGAGGAGTAGGATGGCAAGGGACGTCCCTGGGAGCAGCGCTACACTCAGGCTTCAGAGGGTCCTCATAGATCCAGTCATAGGCGGTCTTATCACAGCAGCTGTCAGCTTCAGTCTCCCCACTTCTACGCACACAAGAGCTCCCACCGCACACACCTGCCAATAACCAAAATGTAGACGTAAGCTTGGAAACGCACACATGCATGTACACAGGCAGGCATGCACACACACTGACACACATACAGACACACACACCCACACACACACACACACTTCCTTGTCTAATACAAACCGCATTGTCCTTGGGTGTTATGCAGGAAATGCTCCATGGCCAAGGTGACAGTCACAGTGTTGGATGGTGTGAGAGAGATATGTGAGCGGATCTCAGGGATGTATACAGACACCATATAGCCTGTCGTCTCAAACCTGATACCATTCTCCTCATAGGGAGGCTCGACGGTCTTCTGGTTCAGAGTAGACTAGGAGAGAGAGGAGCAGAATGGTTTGAGTGAGTGAGATCTCAGAAAGATCACTATCATGGCAATATATATTCAAGAGCCAATCAATCAAATGTGGTGACTACTGGAATGAATGAACAAATAATTTAATGAATGGATGGATGGATGAATGAATGCTTAAACCAATCAATCAATCAATAAATGAAGAACGGCAGTACCTTCACCCTGTACTCGTCCGGTACGATGCTGACAGTGGCCGTGTTGTTCTGGTACTGCAGGATGATGCCTTTGGCACAGGCGCCGTCCAACTCGGGAATACAGAAGTAGTTGTCCACGGCAACAGTCAGATGGTGACGCAGCGTTTTCTCCTCGACCAGGATGTAAGTACAATTATCCAGGAAGTCAAAGGTCACGCCCTGGAAGGAGATGTAGTGAGGGTCTCCATAGAGGTCACAACGACCTGGGGGACAGGGGGAATAAGAGAACAGGGGGGATAAAAGAAGATGGGGAATAAGAATAGAGGGGGAATAAGGGTAGAGGGGGAATAAGAGAGGAACTGACTTATAATAAGTGCATTCCCATAAGGAAGACGAAACTACTACATAATAAGAGCATCAGACTGTGCAGGAAGTAAAACCCTCTTCAAAAACAAGATAAAAGATAGACAAACTCTAGCACTTTACCCAAAGGAACAGACAGGCAGGCAGACAGACAGACTCACAATCACACTTCCAGTAGTCACAGCATCCGTCTGAGACTCTGACCATCTGTCCCCTGGGGCACATGGTGGGGCGAACTGGATACGGACAGTTGACCGAAGTCATCTCTATCTTTCCACCGTTACACGTCTTATTGAAGCAGTCTTCTGTCCACTTCTCTCCACATGCCCAAATCTGGTTCCTCTTCAGGTCTCTACACTCACAAACTGGAAACAAGGTGTAGATTTGACTCAAACATAGTGGAACAACTTCTACATCTATTTCTATAGTATATTTGTAAGGTCAGGTAGATTTTAGAGATATCAACCAATATCAACAATCAAAATTGCCAAAAATATATTTAAATATGTTGGCCTACTTGTAGGTGTTGTAGACTCTGTATATATTTCTGTTGACATCGTTGTTGGACCCGTAGATGTGGTTGATTCAGAGATAGTGGGAGATTGTGTAGAGGAAGTTGTTGGTCGACTTGTGTACAGGGTTGTAGCTTCAGTCGATGGTCCTTCAGTTGTTGATTCAGTTGTAACGTCAGTATCTGAAGTAGTTGGTTTGGTTGTCATTTCAGTATGTGAAGTAGTTGGTTTGGATGTCATTTCAGTATGTGAAGTAGTTGGTTTTGTTGTCATTTCAGTATGTGAAGTAGTTGGTTTGGTTGTCATTTCAGTATGTGAAGTAGTTGGTTTGGTTGTCATTTCAGTATATGATTTAGTTGGTTCGGTTGTAGATGTTGGTTCTACATATTTGGTCATAGAATATGAGAATGTAGTTGTGGGTTGTGTTGTAGTAGTTAATATAGTTGTTGTAAGTTCAGGTGTAGTTCTTGATGTAGTGGATTGTTTAGGTGTGGTAGTAGGTTCAGGTGTTGTAGTGGGTTGTTGAGGTGTGGTTGTAGACTCTGTAGACATTGTTGTTGACATTGTTGTTGGAGCCGTAGATGTTGTTGATTCAGAGGTAGTGGGAGATTGTGTAGAGGAAGTTGTTGTTCGACTTATGTACAGGGTTGTAGCTTCAGTCGATGGTCCTTCAGTTGTTGATTCAGTTGTAACGTCAGTATCTGAAGTAGTTGGTTTGGTTTTCATTTCAGTAAAAGTAGTTGGTTTGGTTGTCATTTCAGTAAAAGTAGTTGGTTTGGTTGTCATTTCAGTAAAAGTAGTTGGTTTGGTTGTCATTTCAGTAAAAGTAGTTGGTTTGGTTGTCATTTCAGTATGTGAAGTTGATGGTTTCGTTGTCATTTCAGTATGTGAAGTAGTTGGTTCGGTTGTAGATGTTGGTTCTACATATTTGGTTGTAGAATATGAGAATGTAGTTGTGGGTTGTGTAGATGTTAATTTAGTTGTAGTTTCAGTGTATGCTGTAGTTGCTTCTGCAGTAGTGGTTTGACCAGCTGTAGTATTCCACACTACTAACTCAGATGGATTAGATAGAGTAGTTTTAGATCCTGTAACTATCGTTGGGAATCCAGTTGTGTATTCCAAACTGTGTGTAAATGTGGTTGTAAGTTCAGGTGTAGTTCTTGTTGTGGTGGGTTGTTTAGGTGTGGTTGTAGGTTCAGGTGTTGTAGTGGGCTGTTGAGGTGTGGTTGTAGATTCAATTGTGGTTGTAATTTCAGGTGTAGTAGTCAATATAGTTTCTGTAAGTACAGGTGTAGTTCTTGTTGTAGTCGGTTGTGTAGGTGTGGTTGAAGATTCAGGTGTAGTATTATGTTGTTTAGGTGTGGATGTATATTCAGGTGTAGTAGTCAATATAGTTGTTGTAGGTTCAGGTGTAGTTCTCATTGTAGTTGATTGTGTAGTTGTGGTTGTAGGTTCAGGTGTAGAAGTAGGTTGTTCAGGTGTGGTTGTATATTCAGGTGTAGTAGTCAATATAGTTGTTGTAGGTTCAGGTGTAGTTGTCATTGTAGTTGATTGTGTAGTTGTGGTTGTAGGTTCAGGTGTAGAGGTAGGTTGTTCAGGTGTGGTTGTATATTCAGGTGTAGTAGTCAATATAGTTGTTGTAGGTTCAGGTGTAGTTCTCATTGTAGTTGATTGTGTAGTTGTGGTTGTAGGTTCAGGTGTAGTGGTAGGTTGTTTAGGTGTGGATGTATATTCAGGTGTAGTAGTCAATATAGTTGTTGTAGGTTCAGGTGTAGTTCTCATTGTAGTTGATTGTGTAGTTGTGGTTGTAGGCTCAGGTGTAGTAGTAGGTTGTTTCGGTGTGGTTGTATATTCAGGTGTAGTAGTCAATATAGTTGTTGTAGGTTCAGGTGTAGTTCTCATTGTAGTTGATTGTGTAGTTGTGGTTGTAGGTTCAAGTGTAGTAGTAGGTTGTTTCGGTGTGGTTGTATATTCAGGTGTAGTAGTCAATATAGTTGTTGTAGGTTCAGGTGTAGTTCTCATTGTATTTGATTGTGTAGTTGTGGTTGTAGGTTCAGATGTAGAAGTAGGTTGTTTAGGTGTGGTTGTATATTCAGGTGTAGCAGTGGGTGGTTTAGGTCTGGTTGTAGGTGTAGTTGAAGTTGTAGGTGTAGTTGATGTTGTAGGTGTAGTTGATGGAGGTTCAGGACCTAAAAGAGGCACATCACATAAATGGATGTGGTAATACTGCATTTCTGATAATATAACACTTTAATATAAGTCAGTCACAATTGTGATCAAAGTCTTAACTGATTTACAAATACGTAAACTCAGTTATAACATATCCACTTACCACAGTTAATACGCCCCTGTTCACAAGTGCTGTAGACAGAGAGCACAGTAAAAGATCACAGTTACCATTCTCCTGTATGTTAAATCGATTTTGTCTTTCTCATTTCCGCATAATAGGCCTACATAGAGTATACTTGCACTGCTATACTGTAAATAGGTACTCACCAGTTCCCAGTGGGTTTCCTGATAACTGTACCAGGCTTAACCATAGTCTCGTTGGAATAACAAGTGCAGTTGTCCAAAGTGGAGCATCTCCCTGTGTTCTCATCATAGTATGGAGCCTCTGCTGTGCATTTCGGGTAGCAGCCTGCACACAGAGAAAATGTCAAAGTTAGCATTAAGATCAACATCACTGTGAGGAGCAGATGAATCTCTCATGACAGATATAAACATCTTCTGGGATCATAGCCTGTTGACAGATCGGTTTGACAGCACAAACAAATCCGGGACCATGTTAGATGGATCATCCATTTCCATGAATTGAGTCAGTTCAGTTACCTTCCAGCTTGCCGGTGAAGAGGTTGTTTTTGCCACAGGTCTTGATCTGTCCACAGGGATCATAGTGCCAGCTACAGTGGCCCTTCTCATTGTAGTAGTCGCAGTACACCGCTGTATGGGTAGGTAGAGGAATAGTTCATTTAAACACTGTGTTTTAATAACACATACAGTTGATGTCAGAAGTTTACATACACCTTAGCCAAATACACTTAAACTCTGTTTTTCACAATTCCTGACATTTAATCCTAGTCAAAATTCCCTGTTTTAGGTCAGTTAGGATCACCACTTTATTTTAAGAATGTGAAATGTCAGAATAATAGTAGAGAGAATTATTTATTTCAGCATTTATTTATTTCATCACATTCCCAGTGGGTCAGAAGTTTACATACACTCAATTGTGAAGTAATTGGTCTACAATTTCTTTTCTGAGGTCTTGGCAGATTTCTTTTGATTTTCCCATGATGTCAAGCAAAGAGGCACTGAGTTTGAAGGTAGGCCTTGAAATACATCCACAGGTACACCTCCAATTGACTCAAATGATGTCAATTAGCCTATCAGAAGCTTCTAAAGCCATGACATCATTTTCTGGCATTTTCCAAGCTGTTTAAAGGCACAGTCAACTTTGTGTATGTAAACTTCTGACCCACTGGAATTGTGATACAGTGAATTATAAGTGAAATAATCTGTCTGTAAACAATTGTTGAACAAATGACTTGTGTTATGCACAAAGTAGATGTCCTAACTGACTTTCCAAAACTATAGTTTGTTAATAAGGAATTTGTGGAGTGGTTGAAAAACTACTTTTAATGACTCCAACTTAAATGTATGTAAACTTCCGACTTCAACTGTACATGTAATTAGCATCTTATTGAAAGACTATCCTTGGCAGACTCATACATACTTAAAAAAGAACAATAAAGCATTACACATGTAAGTAATGGTAAAGTGTTAGCATTACTTTTAAATGAAATACTGAGGAGAATATTTGCGTCAGTTGTGATCTGTTACGTACGGCACATGTCTGGCGTTCTCCAGCGGACACACACGTCCTGGTCACTGCAGGCCTCAGCGTAGGCTGCCACGGCTGTACAGAAACCCAAGAACTTCCCCTCAAACTCACAGGAGCATGACTCCAACACACAGGCCTGGTAGTAGGGCTCTGGGTCCACCTGGAGAACAAAGCAGAACATCTTAACTGAATGTCTATTTAAAGGTGTTACATAATAATATAATATATGCCATTTAGCAGATGCTTTTAAAAATCTTGTACGTGTGGTCCTGGGAATCAAACCCACTATCCTGTCATTGCAAGCACCATAATCTACCAACTGAGCTACAAAGGACCCACATGTTTGGGGTGAACTATCTCTTTAAGCCTACCTTTAAGTGGCAGTCCTTGAAGGTGTGTGATGTTTGGGGTAAGCTATACTTTTAAGCGTACCTCTGTAGCAGTCCTTAATTAAAGGTGTTTAATGTTTGGGGTGAACTGTCCTTTTAAGCGAACTGTACCTTCAAGTGGCAGTCCTTAAAGGTGTCTCCCCTGAGGATCATACAGCGTCTCTCGGCCCAGGCGGAGCAGTAGGAGTGGCGCTGGCACGGAAACACCTCATTGGTCACGTCAGAGCAAGGGGGTGTGGCCGTCTTCCAGCTATTGCCGAAGGCGAGGGGGCTGGACACCACCGATGACCCACTTATCTGCAGGTCGTTCATCTCGTTGGAATCGAAGTTTCCGCAAAGTCCACACACTCGATTCTGTGAAAGTACAGCTGATTAATTAGGTAATTAACTTGAAACAAATTAATTAATGAGTTACTTAGGCAAGACAGTTGTGCTAACTAAACCATAGCTTAATACTAAACAGTACTTAGTAGCTATGAAATTATATTTCAGAAGTTGCAATGACATCACAGTAGTTGCAATGATATTTCAGCAGTTGAAATGATCAATGAGCAATAGGGAAATCTTACAGGTTACATCTTTAACGTCTAGACAGAGAGAACTCACCCTCCAATGGTCGTCCAGTATGACAGTGAGTCTGGAGTGTTTGTCCCAGATGAGGGTTAGTCCTCTAGTAGGCACTGAGATGATGATGTAGAGCCCCACAGTGTGGGTGGAGTACAGAGGCTCCGCCTCCAGAGAAGCCCATCCCCCTTGGAGCCGTCTCGTCACCTTCATTTCATTCAGAGTCAGAGTGACTTTACCCTGAGAGAAAAGACAAACACATCATTAATGAAGTTAATAACTCTCCATATTACAGTCCAAATAACAGAGGTATTCAGTAAAAAATAAAAAATACATGCAAACTTTCTGATACTTATTTACATTATTCAATACAATTAGTATCTAACTGGTGATACCAAGTGGTGCTTAGTCCTACTTGATAAAACACACCAAATAAACTGAGGGGAAGTTCTATGTAATAATGTACTTCAAAAGCATGGCGTGACAGAGGAGAGAAGTGAGCTGTGTGTATTACCATCAGGTCTAACACGATGGTCCGGGAACAGGTCAGAGCCTCGTCACAGCATGGGACACTCTCCACCTTGACAGAAAACGACCCAGCTCCACTACCACAGCCATCCTATGAGAGAAGGAAGAAAACAGCGGAATTGGTTCTATAAAGAAGCAGTACCATTCATTTCCCAGCAGTATAGAATAGAAAACAAAACAAAATAAACAACAATGCTTGATAACCCAATGAAAAGGTGATATCGGATGGCCTTCTGTGACTCACCTCCACTAATGTGTACTGACAGTTCCCATCGTAGCGGTACCATTTAGAGTCAAAGGTTTGATAGTGTCCGTTCCCATACACCAGGCATGTACCAGGGCATGGTTTATCTACACAGCTCCACTGGGCTTGACGGCAGGTGCTGGGAGGTGAATGGAGACAAACTTTTAGGGGGCGATTCCTAACTTCCACTTAAGTAGAATTATTTGCTTAGTCATGTATTGATGTTAATAGGAAACTAAGTGAAAAATCAACTTAAGAAGAGGTTAGGATTCAAATTCTGGATTCCATTTCAGACAGTGAGTATAACACACTATCTTTGCTTCAGCTCAGACTCAGACAAACACTTCCTGATGTTCGTTAGATATAATACACTACCTGGTGTGTTTGTCTTTCAAAATAGACAAATCCCCAAATCGTATTTGTGATACATTCACTTATGCATGTTATCTGTAATTGATACACACTTCAGAAGTAGCAAGGCAACAGTTGTGGCTCACTCACCATATTCTACAGTTGGTCTTGACACTCTGTCCTGCTTTGAACACTCTGCCGCTGTATTCACAGGTGCAGTTGTCCACAGTGACACACACACCCCTATGGTCTTCCAACTGGCCCCCTGGACAGTAACAGCCACTTGTACAACTCTGAACAGCACTCTGGGAATAAAGAATATGAGTATCTCATTGACCGAATGGATAGCTGAGAGTTACCCTGCATAGTGCATATACTGTACAGCAGACTAAAACATTAACAGTTTTAATTTCTACTTTTGGGCTAGCATGAAATATTAATTTTTTTGTTTTTGTTTGGAATATTAACAGTGAACTTACTGTTGGTTTGCTCAGACTGGCACATGTTTCTCGAGCTGTGTCTATTGACAATTGTGAGCAATGCACACAAACTTTCCCCTGGGTGCAAACTGAAACAGACAGTAACATACAGTATTATCTTTGAAGGCATGTCAAGCGCCACAAAATATATATATATATATATATATATATTATATTTACCACAATCCTCAGAGCACTGCAATTCTCCATCCTCACATTTGCTGCAAAAGATTATAAAAAGGTGGATGTAAGATGTTGGTGTGTTGGAAAAGACGCCTTCCTGATACATGTATCAAGTTTCAAATTGTTATTGTTACTTGCACTAGTACAGTGAAATGCCTTTCTTGCTTACTGTTTCCCAACAATGCAGTAGTACCATAGAAAATAAATAAAAAAGTAAAGTATAACAAAAACACATCAGAAATAGAAATAAGAAGAACATGAGAAAGTAAGTAAGAACTGGATACAGGTCCAGTTCCAGGGTCAGTGCCAATACCATATTTACAATTAAAAACAACTGAGAATAGGCATTGGTCTGAAGCTGAAAAAGAAAGGAAATTCACATGAGCACCACAAAGCCTATTCCACCCATGCTCTACCAAGGTTTTCCAGCACACAGCTTTGACCTACTACAGTAGCTATATTGTACTTCAAATTATGTGTATGCAGGTTGCTTGGGATTCAAACCTTCTCAAACAGCCTAATTCATACTCTTAGAGGAGGTGCTCCCACAATAATGTTATTTGTACCGCATACATGGTAAAGTATTGGATTCTTCACACACCACAGTAAGACATTATCCCATTACCCAACTTTTCATGCTTTATTTTATTACACTGAACAAAAATATAAACATAAAATGTAAAGTGTTGGTCCCATGTTTCATGAGCTGAAAAAAAAAATCCTGATTTCTGTAACTGTTAGCTTACCTGTGTAATATTGAATTATGCTCAGAACCACTTGTGTTTAAAACATGGTGCTGTTTTATCAATTGCTGTACTGATCAATGGACAGTTCATTACCTCTGTCAAAACTATATGTAGCTTAAAGTTATGTTTGTACTTGTATTTCTTTTTGCAATAAAATGGCGATGCAAAAATAATACACATTTACAATAGGCCTATATATATATACACTACCAGTCAAAATTGTGGACACAGATACTCGTTCAAGGGTTTTTCTTTATTTTTACTATTTTTGACATTGTAGAATAATAGTTAAGACATCATAACTATGAAATAACACATATGGAATCATGTAGTAACCAAAAAAGTGTTAAACAAATCAAATTATATTTTATATTTGAGATTCTTCAAATAGCCACCCTTTGCCTTGATGACAGCTTTGCACACTCTTGGCATGTTTTGATTTTAGAGAAAGGGTAGCGAGTCAGTGGTTCCTGCACCATAGACAGGCAATTGCTTTGGCGTTGAAAGATTGCTTTGATATTTCTATATGATCAACTCACAAATAATCTACACCTACATGCAACAAACAGTACTTCTTGCGCTTTTGACAATGATTTCACGAGGCCTACTTCACATCATATATGCCTAAATACTAAGCAGCTCTGATAGCTAAGGCATCGCCATCAGGAGCAGGTGCAATTTGGACGTAGGCTCAGTTCAAGACCAAGCAAACTTAGAACCACTGGCTTGTCAAGCAAAATTCAAAGCTGGGCTGTACAACATGCAAAAAGGTAGTAAAAGAGTGGGTGGAATGTACAGTGACATCCTCTGCCTCCGATGAAAAAAAGCAACAAAGGGCCCTCAAAAAAAGGTTTTTGAACATGCCCAAACCAAGGCCCATTTAGCACAAGCAAGCATTGTTGGCAAGGCTAAAGAGGACACCTTAACACAGGTTGTAGTTAACGCTCAAAATAAAAACATAGACACTACAGCCAGTCTTCCGAACAGCTTACAAGGAGACTAAACGTCACAGACCCGCTCACGGTTTTGAGCAAGAAATGGACTGTCAGGAGTTAAATGGACTTGACATGGGGAGAATTCTCCATTCCAATGTTGCTTGCTCCAACATACAGCAACATATTTCATCCGAAATGAAGCAAAAACTATTTGAAAGAATAGTACAGTGTTCTCCCAAAATCAGCCTAATGCTCGATGAGGCTACTGGTTTGAATAAACAGAGTGCCTTGATTGTATACATCAGACTTCAGCTGGCAGATATGGACCTACAAGCAAAAATGTTTGTTGATCTTGTGGAACTGGAGGATTTATCTGCTGGGGCAATTGTCCGTAATCTGTTATCTGCATTAGAGGGTGTAAAGTTTACTGAAGACTTTCTCTCCAAAACACTCATTGGAATTATGTGTGATGGTGCGTCTGTCATGCTGGGACGCAAGAGCGGAGTAGCAACAAGGCTCCAGGCCCTCTTCCCTAATATAACTGTTTGGCACTGCTCGGCACACAGGCTTGAGCTCGCAGTAGGTGATGTGGTAAAAGAGATGGGAGCTATCAATCATTTAAAAATACTTATGGACAAGCTATATGCGCTTCATAGCGTATCTAACAAAAACCGAATGGAGCTGAGGGAGTGCACAGAGAGTTTAGACATTCAGCTGTGCAAAATCGGCAGGATCTTGGACACTAGATGGGTGGCATCCAGTTTTAGAACGGTAGAGTCTGTGTGGAAAATTACCCGGCTCTTCACAAGCATTTCACCACAGCAGCTGAGGATGCCTCCTGTGACGGCGTGACCCATCAGAACTATAGTGGCCTTTCCATGCGCATATCCTCGCATGCGTTTGTTAACAATCTAGGCCTTATGTGTGATGCACTTCAAGGACTATCTGAATTGTCACTCGAGCTCCAAAAGAGAGACTGCACAATTATTACTGCACACATGGCAGTCACCAGGGAAGCGAGGGTGTTCAGTGCAATGGCAGAGCAGCCAGGCCGACACACACAACTCAGCCAGAGAGGGATTCAGGAGAACTCTTTCCAAGGCGTCAAACTGAATGGTGGAAGACCCAGGGCAGAGTCCTTAATCAGAGGGACTTTTTCGAGAGCTTGGCGAGGAACATGGAGGCTAGAATGTTCTCTCAAGGAGGACGGGCGGTGGACAATACAGGATACAGCCAGTTCATAGAGGAGCTGAAAGTGCTTTACGTGCAATACTGGCCGGAGGACACAGGAGCACTGTATGGAGAAACAGAAATAGTCTCTCTGCCAGCAGTTTGGCATTGACAGTCCACATATGGTCATACGGGCCTGCAGGCAGTACAGGGACACTAATGGTAATGATAAAGGAGACATTCCAGACTTAAAGAGCTGCTGATGGCAGTCAGCACCATCCCCATCTCCAGTGCAGAACGCGAGCGGGGATCTTCTCAAATGAATCTGATTTGCACCTCAACCCGCGCCTCTCTGCATACCTCCACCATATCAGGGCTACTCTTTCTGAACCTTGTTGGCCCACCCCTGACCAAATTCTACCCAGTCCCCTATGTGAGGTCATGGATTGATAAAGGACACAGATGTGTCACAGACACCAGGAGCAAAACAAAAAATAGGGAGGAGAAGATGCACGAGGAAATAGCTGTGTTGTAGGAGTTTTGGAAAACTAAGGTAGGAACATCTTTTTCCTTTACAAACCTGTTCTGTACTGTGAAGTTAATCTGAATATGCACTTCATATTATCAAATAGGCAGGAGGCCTATATATTATAATATGTGTTCTGCTGTAGGCTACATTGATTTATTTTATTTGAAGTATATTCTGATATCAAATCAAATGATTGTGATATGTTTGTTCTACTGCTACATTGATGTCTTGAAAAGTATATGCAATTCGAGTCTTGTAAGCCCCACAGCTGAGTATGTGTGTGTCACGATCGTTACAGGAAGCGGACCAAGGCGCAGCGTAATAAGCGTACATACTTTATTATTACTGAACACGACACAAAAAGAATAAACAACGATGCGTGACGTCCTGAAGTTATACACAACAAACCTTAACGGAACAAAATCCCACAAACCCGAATGAAAAACAGACAGTTTAAATATGGCTCCCAATCAGAGACAACCAACGAACAGCTGACACTCGTTGCCTCTGATTGGGAGTCACTAAGGCAAACATAGAAAGCAACAAACCAGAACCCCCAACATAGAAATACACCACATAGAACAAACACACCCTGGCTCAACAACTAGAGTCCCATAGCCAGGGTGTGACAGTACCCCCCCCTAAAGGCGCGGACTGCGACCGCGCCTCAAAAAGAGCAAAACAGGGGAGGGCTGGGTGGGCATACCTCCTCGGCGGCGGTTCTGGCTCCGGGCTTGACCCCCACTCCTTCTCTAACCCCCCAAAGTACCCCTGGTCCGGTCTGGCCCTGCTGGCCGGAGCTGGACTGAACACTGGTGGAGCGGATTGCTCTAGCTCCGACGTGAAGCCTCTGACCGGTGCCGGACCAGCCACCGGTGGAACAGGCACGGGCCGTGCCGGACTGACGACGCACACCACTGGCTTGGTGTGGGGAGCAGGAGCGGGCCGAGCCGGGCTGTCGAAGCGCACCCCTGACTTGGTGCGGGGAACAGGCACGGGCCGTGCCGGACTGACGACGCACACCACTGGCTTGGTGTGGGGAGCAGGAGCGGGCCGAGCCGGGCTGTCGAAGCGCACCCCTGACTTGGTGCGGGGAGCAGGAACGGGCCGAGCCGGGCTGACGAAACGCACCACTGACTTGGTGCGGGGAGCAGGAATGGGCCGGACCGGGCTGACGACGCGCACCACTGTCTTGGTGCGGGGAGCAGGAATGGGCCGGACCGGGCTGACGACGCGCACCACTGACTTGGTGCGAGTGGCAGGAACAGGCCGGACCGTACTGGGAACACACACCACTGGCCCTACGTGGGGATCAGGAACAGGCCGGACCGGACTGGCAACACACGCCAGTACCTCTCGCCGTGCCTCTACAACCTCCTTCCCCCTGGTGACCAGTGACTCCCGTAACCTGGCGTCCTCCTCTGCCTATCCGCTGGGCCGCTCTGCCGCGGTCTCCTGCTGGCCCGTCGTCCACGGCGTTACCCACCCCTTAAAAAATTTCTGGGCGTCTCCCCTACCCGTGGACCAGGTCTCCATGTCCCTCGCCAGCCTTTCGCCCTTCTGCCACAAGGTCAAGCCCTTCTCCTCCTCACTCGGCTTGACCCAGTCGAGGAGGCGAAGGAGATCTGTTAGGGATCTCCCTGGCGATGGCTCCTGGACACGCTGCTTGGTCACATCTTGGTGGGATTTTCTGTCACGATCGTTACAGGAAGCGGACCAAGGCGCAGC